TGCAATTTACTGAAGACCCAAGGCCACCTCTAATTTACTTGGCAAAACACTGAGAATTTAAAAAAAAAAAAAAAATTGCATACAGACTAGACACCAACAAAATGAAACACCAAAATAAGTTCTATAGAAAAACAGGATTTACCACAATATACCACTATTTAATTATATAACTTAGATTAAAAAGTTTAATAAAATACTGCCTTGCTCAAAATTTGAGACTCTTTAGATGAAAAAAAAACAAAAAACAAAAAACAAAAATTTAAGTAAACAGACTAAGAAATCTAATGACCCCTACCACCTATCTTTAAAAATTATCCAAACTGTGTCATTCTTGCTTACCTTCTACTTTTGCATTTCCCAAGTTACCATTAAATCTACATACCTTCTGTTTCGCTGCCTGAGTCAGATTACTTCACCCAGATATTAAAAAATCATTACCATGATACCACTATTACACCTAACAAAATTAACAGTAAGTCTTCAATATTACTCAGTTTACTCAATATTCTCCAATATCATTTTACAAGTGTGATGTTTAAATTCAGATCCAATATACTTTACACATTACCTATCACTTAACTCTTTTTGAATCTGTATTACCTGCCCTCCTGCCACCACCTCCACGACTCTTTTCCTCCCGTGACATTTATTTACAAAATAAGTAATTTTTCTTTAGAATTTCCCATGTCTGGGATTTGGCTAATATCTTCCTTATAAACTTATTTAACATACTTATCCTATATTTCTCGTACTTGGTGGTAAGAAAGTGGATGAGTTTCAGATGAAATCTTTATGGCAAGCATATTTCGTAGGTGGTGCTTCTATTTAGGGGGGGCATATAATATCAATTTTATATAATGGCCTATTTTGGTGGTATAAAATTAACCAGTGGATTTACATTCAGCCTGATCCAGCCAAAATAAAGTTCCTCATTAACCTTTCACTTAATGATTTTAGCAGCCATTGATGACCATTGCCTAATTCTTTTATTTTATCGAAGTTTACGAAAGTGACTTTTTTAGTTCTATATTCCTTCTGCATTTACTAGCAGGATTTTTGCTAAAAATAAGTAGTCCACCAACCACTTGGTGACTCTTAAAATTCGAAAAGTCAAGATAAATGTTTGATCCTTTGTCCTTATTTCCTAATTTTAAAAATAATGAATTGATGGTCTAGCAAACTCCAAGGGTGATCAGGTTGATTTTTTTTTTAATGCCTATAAATTTAAGGGTTACAAGTGCTGTTTTGTTATGTACATATATTGCATAGTGGTGATATATTGCATAGTGCTGAGGTCTGGGCTTTCAGTGTAACCATAGACTTAATAATGTGTATTGCAGACACTGATTTCTCATCTCTAACTCCCCTTCCACCCTCCCACCCCACCAATCTCCAGTGTCTGAATTCACAGTCCATGTCAATGTGTACACATCATGTAGCTTCCACTTATAAGTGAGAACATGCTATATTTGACTGTTTCCAGATTATTTCACTTTAAAAAATGACCTCCAGCTCCATCTACATTGCTACCAAAGACATGCTTTTTTAAATAGTTGAATAGTATTCCATTGTGCGTATGTACAACACACATACACACCACTTTTTTTTTTTTTTTTTTTTTTTAGATGGAGTCTTGCTGTGTTGCCAGGCTGGAGTGCAGTGGTGCGATCTCAGCTCATTGCAACCTCTGCCTTCCAGGTTCAGGCGATTCTCCTGCCTCAGCTTCCCAAGTAGCTGGGACTACAGGTGTGTACCACCACGCCCCCCTAATTTTTGTATTTTTAGTAGAGACAGGGTTGCACCATGTTGGCCAGGATGGTCTTGATCTCTTGACTTCGTGATCCACCTGCCTTGGCCTCCCAAAGTGCTGCGACTACAGGTGTGAGCCACTGCACCTGGTCCACATTTTCTTTAATCATCCATTGAAGGACATTTAGGTTGACTCCATATCTTGTCTACCATGGATAATGCTGTGATAAATATCCAAGTGCAGGTATCTCTTCTTGTCTAATCATTTATCTTCCTTTCGACAGATACCCAGTAGTGAGGTTGCCAGATTAAATGGTAGTTATTTTTTTAGTTAAGCAATCTCCATACTGTTTATCATGGCAATTGTTCTAATTTACATTCCACGTGTATTCTCCACAGTTTTGCAAACCTCTGCAATTTTTTAACCTTTTAATAATAGCTAAAAATTCTGACTGCATGACCTGTGAAATGGTATTTCATTGTGGTTTTAATCTCATTTCTCTAATGATTAGGGATGTTGAGCATTTTTCCTGTTTGTTGGCCATCTGCATGTCTTCTTTTGAAAAATGACTATTCTTGTCCTTTGCACATTTTTTCATGGGTTTTTTTGGTTTTTGTTCTTGTTGATTTCCTTGTAAATTTTGGATATTAGTCCCCTATAGGGGATGAATAATTTGCAAATATTTTCTCCCATTCTGCAGGCCATTTGCTCCATTGATTACTTCTTTTGCTGTGCAGACGTTTTTATTTTAATTAAGTCCCATTTGTCTATTTCTGGTTTTGCTGCTTGCTCTTTTGAGGTCTTAGTCATAAATTATTTGCCTAGACCAATGTCCAGAACAGTTTCACCAAAGTTTTCTTCTAGGATTTTTCAGGTCTTACATTTAAGCCTTTAATCAACCTTGAGTTAATTTTTGTATATGGTGAGAAACGGTTCCAGTCTCATTCTTCTGCATATGGCAATCCAATTTTCCCAGCATCACTGTATCCATCATCTGGGTTCTCTACTCTTTTCAATTGACCTCTACATCTATTTTTATACCAGTACCATGCTACTTGGGTTACTATAACCTTGTAGTATAATTTAAAGCCAGATAATATGATGCCTCCAGCTTTATTCCTTTTACTTAGTACTGCTTTGGTTATTTGGGCTTTTTGGTGCTTTTTCTTATTTTGAGAGGCATCACTATGAACTTATGTATTTAAAAATATATTTGATGTGTTTCAATTTGTTGCAGTAACAGTTCTTTTTAAAGCTCAAAGGCACCCATTTTGAGGCAGTGGAAGCCTCCTTCAGGTCAGCTCTTGGACCCTTCTGGTACAACTCCAGCAGTCTTTGATAGCTTCTTTGTGTTCTACTACGAAACAAGGTTCCAGACTTGGAATCATCCATTTCCCTAAGAAGCCTTATCTTTTCAGTGGAAAATGGCATTTTAAAGACCAAAATCTATGAGTTACATATATATACATACACTTGCCATTGACTTACTACTGCTTCTAGGCCCTTTCAGTGCACAAAGCTGGGAAATACAGTTTTATTACAGAAAAAAAAATCTAATCATGCATTCAGGTTGATTTTTGTAAAAACTTGATTTCAAATCCATTATCAAGTTTTTGCTTAGCTTTTTAAATCTTGTTTTTGTTTCACTCCAGCCTGGGTGACAGTGAGACCCTGTCTCAAAAAATAAAAAAGAAAAAAACAAAAAAATTAAAAAAAATAATAAATATATATATATATGGTTCTAAATGCAAAACCATAAAAACAAGGTACAATCAGAAGGAACTATGTGCTATCCCTCTGCCTTTTCCTTCCCTTCTCCTATAGGTAACCATTTTCATTCATCTTTAGTTCATCCTTCCATTATTTCCTTTTGAAAATATAAACAAGCATATAGAGAAAATGGTATTTTAAGGACCATAATTTGAGCACTATGGATATTCAATGCTACTGGCTGGTTTATGTATTTGTGTATATATGTAATATTTCTATCTACCCTTCCTTTCTTCTTAAAAGTTAGCATATTATATATATTCTTCTGCAGCATGCTTTTTTTCTTAACAGTAAATATTTAAAGTACCCTGAAGCAGTATAACGAAATCTTCTTCATTTTCTATAATTGCAAAATGCTCCCCTTTGAATGTTCCATCATTTACTCAGCCAGCTCTATGCTGAAGGTCTTTTGTGCTTCCAGTGTTTTGTTTTTACAAAGAGTGCTATAAAAAAGGTGTGTAAAGGAGTCATTTCTTATTTGGGGTATAGATTTCAGGAAGCAAGACTATTAAAACAAAGAATAAATATATATGTGATTGGCCAGGCACGGTAGCTCATGCCTGTAATCCCAGCACTTTGGGAGGCCAAGGTGGGTGGATCACCTGAGGTCAAGACTTTGAGACCAGCCTGGCAAACATACTGGAATCCTGTCTCCACTAAAAAATACAAAAAAAATTAGCCAGGCATGGTGGCAGATGCCTGTAATCCCAGCTACTCAGGAGGTTGAGGTAGCAGAATCGCTTGAACCCAGGAAGCGGAGGTCGCAGTGAGCCAAGACTGTGCCCGTATACTCCAGCCTGGGCTACAAGAGTAAGACTCTATCTTAAGAAAAAAAAATTTGATAGATACAGCAATGTCCTTCTTCTTGCCCTCAAATAATAAGAATTCAGGTAGAAAAAAACGGGTTCCGAAATTTGGTAGTACGAGAAAGATTTTCGTTTCTAATTCTTCCTATAAACATTTCCCTCTGGTATAAATTAATTTTGAATTGTTATATTGACACGACAAGTGATTTAACATATACTGCTGTATAACTTTAGTTCTATATAAAACTTATTTTAAAATAAAAATAGTGGGCATAATAAAAAGTAAAAAGATTAAAAGTAAAATGGGATGAACGGTTTACAGGCATGAGCTCTTCCCTAGATGTTCCACTTCTGAAATTCTATGATTTTATGAGCTAAGATTTCCTAAAATAGGACAAAATTCAACCACTTTAAAGTAAATGGAACATAAAAAGCCTTTCCACTAAGCTTCTTTTCATTCCTATTTAATTCTATATTTTCAGCAAGTTTTGATAACTATAGAAAAGAAAGTAACCTTTGTTTAAATACAAATCCATTTTCTTGGAATATATTACATACATAATGTAGGACTAAATTTGCAGAGCCAGGGCCAAATACTCTATGTAGGCACCTTAACAAGGACTTCCTGTTACCAACTAGCTCCAATGAAAATCATCTTCCTTTAAGGAACAGGCGTCTAACAGGCAGAACCGGATTCTCCAGGTGTGAAGTAAGCAATCTATTTTCACTTGCTATTAACAGCAAACGTACAACTTTATCTCTTATTTGACTTCATTATTTGGCTTTCAATTAACAAGATGAAAACTATACAGAAATTAGCTTGTGATCTGTAAGACAGAGATTTAGATAATTTATTCAAAAACATTACATGAGATGATACTCAGATTTTCTCTCAAAGGCAGGACTCCAACACCGCAGGTGGAAAGTCAACAAAAGGAACAAGACAGAAAGGTAAATGATTCTTTTTTTGCACTTTTTAATATGAAATATCCATAGACTGAAATCTGGTTATACTGTGACATTTAAAAATAGCTTAACCTATAATGAGGGTTACTTGTTTTGCTGAGATTTAGAAAGGGGTACTAGACTGATTTGTTCACATATATTACTGACACACTGATTGGGATTTGGGTATAAAGCTCCTGAAAATAGGCTACTATAATGACAATCAATGTTAGAGAAAAGAAAACTTTTTTAAGTCTCTTAAAAAGTTCTCATTTTAGAAATACTAGAAAGTCAGATGTAAAAACAAATCGAAACTTCTTTTATAGACAGACTATAAATTAACCATACTACTGTGCTTACTTTACAGAACACGTCTATATGTAACTCTGAAAAGCAGCCTATATCCAAATTTTACACATAAGTATAACCTTAAAAATCTGAGATAAGTTGCGACAGTGGTCTTAATTGCTTCACTGTTGTTTACTGGAATCTTCCCAAATTTTAAAAATTAGAAAATAATCTTGGTGTCAAAAGACTACCATAAAATATCGAAGTACTCACTAACCTTTATAATATTTCAACTTGTACATTAAAAATACTTCAGTTATATCATTTAACATAAATGTTACATTGAATTGATGGTTTGAAAAATTTAAATCAGCATCATTTAAACACAACATATGTAGATAAGTTAGATACTTTCAAAGTTATATTTGTTACCATGTTAGAATTTAACAAATATTCCATTTCAAATCAAAATAGTAATGACTTACTTTTATATATATTTTAAAGGTGGACTTGAGAATTGGCCACATAATAGCTAGAGCATATTATTTTCATAGCTATACAGTTTTAAATGTAATATAAAAATCATTTTATGTATGTACAGCTTACTTGAATCAGAAGTAAAAGTTCAAAAATTATACAAGTCTTATATTTAAACAAAAATGACCTTAATATTGTTAAACAAGTTAATTTCAATAACTTATTTACACTAATAAGTAGAAAAAAGCACTTAAGGTACATTGCAAAAACAGTCAGATAATTCAAAATTAGGCAATATATACAATTGGTAATTTTTTTTAGTCTTTAGAAACTACTATTTTGCCCTCATTTAAGTAGCCAAAGAGGTTAATATTACAATAAGATCATCTGCTTTCACTTACATTAGAGAAATGTTGCAAGTTGACTCCACATACAAAAGCAAAGAATATTTTATTTTCCCTTAGGTAAAAACTGGTCATATGTCTTGAAATGTTTTGTGTAATCATTATAATAACTATCAAAAGAAATGGCTTACTTTTTAAAAAATCTATACATACATTAAGTATCTATCCCATGGCATATTTCTTAAAGCACTAGGTAATTGTTACTCATATTTCTGTTTCTAGGGATTTTCAGTATCTGTAATAGGGTGGAGAACCTTTTATCTGAGTCGTACCAGTTTACTTTTCTATTTCCCAGAACAAGTTGACAAAGTCGTTAGTGTTATGAGTTAGTGTTCTTTTTTCAAATATCATGTTTAAGCTCACAGATACAGTTCTTGCTCGTAAAATTCAAAACTGTATAGCAATGCTGTAAGTTACATACTAAAAGATGATTCATATTTGTATATAACTCTTCCAACATAAGAAAATAAATTTCAAGTACAGAAAATAGTAATCTCATCAATTTCACCTAGTCTAAGCAATTAAATGACTTCACAACTATAAGCCTCGTATTTCATGCTTATATGAACCCTGTCCTTCCAAGTTTTAAATTCTAATATGCTTATTTGTCTCACTTTGCCTAATATTCTAATTGATAAAAATATAAGATCAATAATTTAAACTGGTTAGTTACACATATAGTTATGAGTATGCAAATACTTGAATATGCAATTTATGTACAGCATGTAAACATATTTGAGTACCTATTGTAAGTAAATTTCTACACAGATGAACAAGGATTTGGGGAAACATTCTGAATTATGTGAATTCCGTCAAGATAAGCAACTATGACTTTCAGTCAAAATGCACAGTTGCAGAAGCTACTCCCTCTTCCTGTAAACATACGGAATTTGATATAACCATAAGTTTAAAAAGACAAATTTTAAAACAAGATCACTAAATTTTAGAGTAAAAAATGGAAGTTTCCAGGTGCCAGAGATGATGAGGAAACACACTTAAAGCCAAAGTGAAGAGCAGTAATTAAAGCTAATCCCACTGGGCAAATACTTTACCTTAAAGCTGAGGTTTAGAGTTTGTTCCATTATAGGGAATTAAAACTGAGTTTCCCAGATGAAGCAGTTAACTAGGAATAATACAACATAATCTGTATACAAAGACAGAAATAACTCTGTTGACTTGCCCAGGATTATGGCAGGAAGTGAGATATCCACGTAGCCTACAAAAATCACTAGAGAAAAATAAGGCCTATATTATACTAGCTGTGTTACAATGGGCAACTACATTGTGTGGGTAGTGACAAAAAATAGCCTCAACGTATCCATAATTTATCTCATTGGGGAGTTATACAAGAATGATCTTAGTGTCTTGATACAGTATAATATACAAGTTACACTGAAGAATTTCACTAAATATACTTGCCCATCTCCAACAGAGTGGCCACCAGTTAGTGGCCACAGCAAACATAGGAATTTACTCCTGCAAAACTAGAAATAACCTAATAATGTAAGAATCTTTCATATAAATATTCTCCAAATGTTCAAAAGAAATACAGGCTTAGGGACTGGGTGCAGTGGCTCATGCCTGTAATCCCAGCACTTTGGAAGGCAGAGGCGGGTGGATCATGAGGTCAAGTGATCCAGATCATCCTGGCCAACATAGTGAAACCCCATCTCTACTAAAATACAAACACTAGCCGGGCATGGTGGCACATGCCTGTAGTCCCAGGTACTCAGGAGGCTGAGGCAGGAGAATTGCTTGAACCCGGGATGCAGAGGTTGCAATGAGCTGAGATCGCACCACTGCATTCCAGCCTGGTGCCTGGCAAAAGAGTGAGACTTTGTCTCAAAAAAAAGAAAGAAAGAAATACATGCATATAGAATCCATAAACAAGACAAGCACAGTGTAAACTTTATAGCTCGCTTTAGTATCATTTACATAATATGCATGTCATGATATATAACACTGAAAAGAAGCCTGATTCTATTTCCATGTTTTGCCTTTAATATCAGTAATGTATAGAGATCTAAAAAAAGGAGAATATTTTCTTGTTTTTGGCTTATATATTTGTTAAGATTAATAATCTCACACCAGTTAGAATGGTAATCATTAAAAAATCAGGAGACAACAGATGCTGGAGGGGATGTGGAGAAACAGGAATGCTTTTATACTGTTGGCAGGAGGGTAAATTAGTTCAACCATTCCGTAAGACAGTGTGGCAATTCCTCAAGGAGCAAGAAATAGAAATACTATTTGACCCAGCAATCCCAAAAGATTATAAATCATTCTATTATAAAGGCCCATGCACACCTATGTTTACGGCAGTACTATTTACAATAGCAAAGACTTGGAACCAACCCAAATGTCCATCAATGGTAGACTGGATAAAGAAAAAGTGGCTTCTAAATATACAATCATGTCATCTGCAAATAGAGACAATTTGACTTCCTCCTTTCCTAACTGAATTCCCTTTATTTCTTTTTTCTTGCCTGACTGCTGCGGCTATACTGTATTGAATAGGAGTAGTGAGAGAGGGCATCCTTGTCTAGTGCCAGATTTCAAAGGGAATGCTTCCAGTTTTTGCCCATTTAGTATGAAATTAGCTGTGGGTTTGTCATAAATAGCTTTTGTTATTTTGAGATACGTTCCATTGACACCTAGTTTATTGAGAGCTTTTAGCATAAAGGGCTGTGGAGCATTGTCAAAGGCCTTCTCTGCATCTATTGAGATAATCACGAGGTTTTTGTCTTTGGTTCTGTTTGTGTGGTGAATTACATTTATAGACTTGTGTATGTTGAACTAGCCTTGCATCCTCAGGATAAAGCCTACTTGATCATGATGGATAAGCTTTTTGATGTGCTGTTGCAATCAGTTGGCCAATATTTTATTGAAGATTTTTGCATCTATGTTCAACATGAATATTGGCCTGAAGTTTTCTTTTTTTGTTGAGTCTCTGCTGTGTTTTGGTATCAGGATGATGTCGGTCTCATAAAATGATCTGGGAAGGACTCCCCCTTTTTGGATTGTTTGGAATAGTTTCAGAAGGAGTGGTACCAGCTCCTCTTTGTATGTCTGGTAGAATTCAGCTGTGAACCCGTCTGGACCTGGGCTTTTTTTGGTTGGTAGGCGATTAATTGCTGCCTCAACTTCAGCCCTTGTTATTGGTCTATTCAGGGTTTCAACTTCTTCCTGATTTAGGACTGGGAGGGTGCAAACGTCCAGGAATTTACCCATTTCTTCCATGTTAACCGGTTTATGTACACAGAGTTATTTGTAGTAATCTCTGATTGTAGTTTGTATTTCTGTGTAATCTGTGGTGATATCCCCTTTACTGTTTTTTATTGCATCTATTTGATTCTTCTCTCTTTCCTATTAATCTGGCTAGCTGTCTGTTTTGTTGATCTTTTCAAAAAACCAGCTCCTGGATTTATTGATTTTCTGAAGGTTTTCTGTGTCTCTATCTCCTTCAGTTCTGCTCTGATCTTAGTTATTTCTTATATTCTGCTAGCTTTTGAGTTTTTTTTTTTTTTTTTATCTTGCTCCTCTAGCTCTTTCAATTTTGACAATAGAGTGTCAATTTTCGATCTTTCCTTGCTTCTCCTGTGGGCATTTATTGCTATAAATTTCCCTCTAGACCAAAATCTCCTTAAACTGAGGCCTCTGTTCTGTTCCATTGGTCATATCTCTGTTTTGGTACCAGTACTATGCTGTTTTGATTACCGTAGCCTTGGAGTATAGTTTGAAATCAGGTAGTGTGATGCCTCCAGCTTTGTTCTTTTTGCTTAGGGCTGTCTTGGCTATGCGGGCTCTCTTTTATCTCCACATGAAGTTTAAGGTGGT